CGGTTTCGAGGGTAAAGTGGAATTGTTACCGTTGACCAAAGAAACGTACATCTCGTTTACGAAAATCGTTCGGGAGACGTCGTCGGGAAAGGGGCGCAATTGCGTGAAGCTACGATTTGTAGACTCGTGTAAGTTTTTAAGCGCCAGCCTCGCGAAATTCGTGTCGTATCTGGACAAGAACGAACTGCGAATAACGCAGTCAGCGTTCTCGAGTCTCGACGACGACGATTTCGAATTGCTCACGCGCAAGGGTGTGTTCCCGTACGAGTATGTCGATAGCGTCGATCGGTTACACGAGACAGAGTTACCGCCCCGCGAGGCCTTTTACAGTTCGTTGGCTGGCGAGAGCGTCAGCGTTACCGACTACGAGCACGCGGTCACTGTGTGGCAACGTTTCCGCATCGGTAATCTCGGCGAGTATAGTGATTTATATTTGAAAACGGACGTTCTATTGTTGGCGGATGTGCTTGAGAATTTTCGCGACAACTGCATGCGCAGTTACGATTTGGATCCCGCTCATTATTACACGTTACCGGGGTACACGTGGGACGCGATGCTAAAATACACACGTGTGCGATTCGAACTGCTGACCGACGTCGATATGCTCCTCTTTGTGGAACGCGGTGTACGCGGTGGTTTGAGTCAGTGCTCCCACAGATACGCGCGAGCTAACAATAAATATCTTGCGTCGCACGATCCGTTACAAGCGTCGACGTATCTCATGTACTACGACGTAAATAATCTGTACGGATGGGCTATGTGTGAATCATTGCCGTACGCGCGGTTTCAATGGGTCGATGACGCCAACGCGGAAAGTCTAGACGTAATGGCTGTGACCGCAGATTCCGATATCGGTTACATTCTTGAGGTGGACCTTGCGTATCCGCGCGAACTTCACGACGTCCACGCGGATCTTCCGTTCTGCCCGTTGCGCGCCCCACCTCCCGGCAAAGTCACCGAGAAGCTTTTAGCGACGCTTCACGATAAGTCGCGCTACGTCATACACTATCGCAATTTGCAGCAATGTGTACGTCATGGGTTGCGTATACTGAAGATTCATCGCGTTTTACGATTCGCGCAATCGCCGTGGCTGCGCGGATACATCGAACTGAATACAATGTTTAGAACCCGTGCGAACAACGAATTCGAGAGAAATATGTACAAGCTTATGAACAACGCGGTGTACGGGAAGACCATGAAAAACGTGCGCGAGCACGTTGACGTGCGTCTTGTGACGCGTTGGGATGGAAGGTATGGAGCGGAAGCGCTAATTGCTAGGCCGAATTTTCACAGTAGAAGCATTTTCTCCGAGAATCTGATGGCCGTCGAGTTACGGAAACTCGAGGTGATGCTCAACAAACCGATATACGTTGGCATGTCCATCCTGGAGATAGCGAAAACGCGATTGTACGAGTTTCACTACGAATACATGGTACCGTTATATCGCGGTGTTTGTAACATAATGTACACGGACACGGACAGTCTGATCTATTTTGTTTTATGCGACGACATTTACGAGGATATGAAACGCTCCATCGAAAGATTCGACACGAGCGACTACGCCGAGAACAACGCGTACGGTATGCCGCGCGCGAACAAGAGCGTTCCGGGTCTGATGAAGGATGAGAATCGTGGTGCGATTATGGTAGAATTCGTAGGGTTGAGAGCCAAGATGTATGCCACGAGGGTGCTCGGACAGAGCGACACGAAAAAGGTGAAGGGTATAAAGAGAAACGTAGTCGAGAGAACGATAACGTTCGACGATTTCACGCGAACGTTGCGCGATATGACGGAGCAATCGAGATCGCAATTCTGTGTGCGTTCGCGATTGCACGAGGTGTATACCGTGTCCGAAACGAAACTCGCTCTCAGTCCTCACGACGACAAGCGATACGTCGTGTCCGAATCGTGCAACACGTTGCCGTGGGGACATTACATGGTGCCGCAACAAGAATAATACTACATATAAGCACCTTTATTGTATAATGATAATAAAGTGTTACAATATTTCTGTGTTGTGTATCCACGAATTGTGTGACTTATCCATTCCTAGCCACTTTACGTACGCCTCGTTGCCTTTTCTATGTAGAACCTTCTCCACCAGATAAACGTCGGGATTGGCGACTCGTGATAATTCGTGCTCGTAGAAACCTCCAGCTATTGATTGTCCGCGATAATCTTTCAGTAGATACGTCACAGGATTTGTCAGCTGTACCTTGGCGATGCGAAACACCTCTGTCCAATTGGGTGTGTAGCCTTTTTCGAATATCGTTTTGAATTTGCTCACGCGCACCGAATCGTCGATCTGGAATCGTCCTGGAGCGGCTATCTTCGTTCGACTGTACACCGTTTTCAAGAGTTTCTCGGCAGCCTCAGGCGTCACGTCTACGGGTCGCATACGGATCGTTCGATGTACGCGACGATTGTATCTCGACAACAGATTCGGCAGTTCGTTGATCCACACGTACGATCCGTTGAGTGTGAACATCTTCCACATGTCGTTCTTGAGCGTACGATTGAATCGTTCCACCACCGAGGCCTTCATCACGGAATACGTAGAGTAATGGTTGACGCGACGTTGTTGCAATACTTCTCGCACGTCGGCGTTGTAGAACTCCTTCCCCTTGTCCGTTTGCAAATTTTTCGGACACCGCTCGCTCTCGCGAAAGAGTTTGGAGAGGGACGCGGCCACTTCCTTTCCACCCTTGCTCTTGAGTGGCACAGCCCACGCGTACTTGCTCAACACATCGATGATCGTCAGTATGTACTTGTGACTCTTATTGAATCGCGAGTACGGTCGCATTTCCACTACATCGGCCTGCCACAGATCGTCGTATCCTCGCACTATGACACGTCGGCGTGGAAAGTTCTTCCGCGCCGGAGCGTGTAGTTCCTCCACGAGTATTCGTTTCTCGACGCTCATCGTTCTCTTTGTTGGTTGTATGTATGTATGTATGTATGTATGTATGTATGTATGTGTACGGTTTATTTAGGTTGTAAAAGATCGTGAAGTTCCTTTAAACGAGGATGTTCTCCTTGCTGCTGAGTGGTAATCTTCAATACTGCTATCAATTCTCGCACGGCGTTTTGCAGAATAAGTAACTGTCCGTTGTGCGAGGCAATTTCTCTTTGCAGATTCGATACTGTGTTATCAACATCGACGACGGTCATATCTATGTCGGGCGTTTTTCGTTTCAACTCCTGTATCGTTCTGTTGTAAGTTTCAAACTGCGATTGGATGAATTCATTTCTTTTTACAACATCGATCGAATGCGTTTGTTTCCAGTTTTGTATATTGTTTAGTATAGTTTTTAATTCTCCTAGTTTCGTGTTATGCTGCTGTGTTTCCCATCTGTGTCTGCCGTCGCTATCCTCGAGTCGTAGTATCAATGTTTCCACCTCTCTCGCAAGTCTTTCACCGAGGGTTCTTTTCACCTCGTGCAACGTTTGTTCTTGCACTTCCACAAGTTTTCGAGTACTCGCGATTTGTGTCACGCTTTGCCGTAGCAGTTCATCCAATAACCGTATACTCTGATTCACTGTAGACTGGTTGCTCTCCAGCGTTGTTTGTATCTCTCCGATCCTCTTCTCGAACGTCTTTGCGCTCTCTTCCACTCAATGTGAGAGCGCGCGAAGCGCGGTATCCACGTAGTTTTTACTCGTCGCGTCGTTCTCGTGATGAAGTTCGCCTATGCGTCGTAACGCACGCGAGCGTCCGTCGTATTCGCCATCAGTGTTTGATTGTTTGATGTCACGTATTGTCGAGCACGTACTTCCGCAAGGATACGATCGACGAACGCGCTTCGTTCAGAGCTATTGCGTCGTCTTCGTGTCTCTCACGAGACATGCCAAATTTGTTGACAGATATGACGTCCTCGGGTGTGCGAACCGTACTGCTGACACGATCGGTGAAAACGGATTAATTTATAATGAATCCAGCCTCGCGAAGCTCTTCGAGTATCGAAAGAATTTCGTTGTCGTGAGCGGTGTTGCCGGCGAGACGAGAGGAATCGAGCAATCGAAGACGATTTGCCAATTGGGATCGTCCCAGTGAACGTAATCTACTTTGTTATCGGTTACTCTCATGGTTGACGGGACGCGGGTCGCACCCGCGCCTTTTTTCTTATCACCGCGAATGAGCGGACCGATAATCGTACTGTACTTGTAACCCTTGTTACCCATGATCGGCATACTCGCGCTGCGACCGCGTCTGTGAGCGTTTGTCGCCAGCAGTATACTCTTGTACGTTTGCAAATCGTTTTTGGTGTAGGCGAGATCGTCGGGGAGTCGTTTGAAAATCAATTCGTACAGACCGGGAGTACCGACGTACCTCGTTCCATCGATGATCATCGAATCGTCCTTGTCCACGTCGAATCGCTTGTCGCCGAGTTCAGCCCCATCCTTGCTGACGTACACTCCGTAAACGTGATCGTTC